TCGCTTTCTTCAATGCTATACCCCCAAAGTCTAGAATAGCGCTGGCACATAGTTGCATGAATTCTGTGCACTCCACTGCCTATTAAGCCATGGGTTGATTGGTTGGTTGACTAGGAAGAGAAGAGGCTTTCATTAGTAAATCCACAAAAATTTATCAGGTTCTTGTTTGACAAGTACTGTTCTAGGCAGCAAATACAAAGAAAAATAGATTAGATTAAAGCTTCTAGGTACTCATAGTCAAATGGGGGAAATATTAAAGTAAAATGTGTAGAACGTGAGTTATAGGTAATGTGGAATGCAGGGGTGTCCCTTTTACATAGTGAAAGCTTTACTGAAGCAATGATTTTCTATTTAAAAAAATTGAGAGAAGTGAAGGATTCATACGATGGGGATTACAGAGAAAGAATGGACAGGTGAAACAACAAAGGCTTTGTATTGGAAAGAAATGCAAGAAGTCAGTGAGGCTGGAGGGAAGGAGGGGAAATTAAAGGTACGAAGTGAAAGAGGAGCATCAAAGTCCATTGTATACTTGCAGCAGCTTCAAATCATTTTTAAATCAAGATAGAATACACATTTATTGTAAATAACTTGGCACCACAATGTATAACTAGTTCATGCAATAAGGAATAGAGCTTGTATTGAATGAAGTTGAATTCGGGGGTACCATAACTTGTAGAATTAAAATTTCTTTAAATTTAATTGTATTTTTTATTGAAGTATATTTTATTTACAATGTTAGTGCCAAGTTATTTATAAGGTAAATATATGTTTGCAATTATTTCCCATTATTACATCAGAGATATGTCCCTTCCCTTTTCACCAAAAGAACAGGAATGAGAGATTCCCCCAGAGGAGGTGAAACCTCTCTTGCACTCCACTCCAGTCACATTGACTCCCTAATTAGAACACCAGTCAGAGCCTAGTCAAAATCCCAAACCTAATCATTCCTAATGCATTCAGTATTTCTCAGATCTAGAAGACCCCCCTCTATTTACCAAGTCCATGAAGATGTGCTCTATATCCTGCAATTTACTTTTGATAGTTCATAAAAAGGAGAGTTGAGCTTAGTCTACAGTGATCAGACAAAGTTGAACTGGATCCACGATCACCCTCATTGGTATGACTTAAATGTTAGGTTAATAGCTTAATCTGGTGGCAGCAGGCAGGATCAAATGAGAAGGCCCCAAGGTCTGTCACAGAGTCTGGGGTTGGGGGGTAGTATGGAGAATTGGGAGCTGTCTCAGATCAAGTAATTTTGAATAGGTTTTGCTTTTTCAGGGGGCAGCTGGAGATACAGGAACCAAGTCAGAAGGATCAGGACCAAACCGATGAATCTGGAAGTCACTGTATGAAAGTGAAACCTGGAATGTGGAAGAGACAGGACCAGACAGACAGAGAGCTGAGCAAACCCCCAGAAGGAGCTGGAAGTCAGGTATGTTATGGAACCAGGGAGTGGTGCCGAGGTCCAGCCTTGGCAAGATCTAGGGGGTACCTTCGGGATGAACGGCGTCGGGGAGAGAGAGAGAGAGAGAGAGAGAGAGAAGACGGGGGGTGCAGCAGACTCTGGCAGGGTCTGGCAATGCTTTATTTTTTACTGTAGCTTTTATACCCTAAGTTAGTACATTTCTAAGGGGAAGATAGTTTAACATTACATCAGCTTGTTCTTCATGAAACCAGGGTGTTTTCTGCATACTTCTTTGTTTATGAGGGTCTTGTACATTATCTTCTGGCCTTGGGGCCCATTAACATTTTATGCAGGTCAGGTGAATGTAAACCTATTTTCTGTTTCTCTGGTGACCTTAACTGAAAGGTAGCAGTCTCATAGGGCAATAGTAAAGAGTAGAAGTATAACCTTGTTAACATAAAAATTAATCCTTCTGCAGAAGTTGTCAGTTGCGTTTATCTAAGAAGTTTATCCCACAATGACTCTGCGACTTTGGTGAGGCAGCCTCTGCCTAGCACTCCTGGCTGACAATTAACAACCATCTCATTGTTACCACACTAGGGCTAAGCTCTTATTTTTCTAGATCTATAACCATATCAACAATGGTTTCCACTGTACAACCTTACCACATTAAGAGTAAAAACACAACAAGCAAATGTTAACCCAATAACCACTTTTAGAATAATTTTTCTTATATTTTCTAATAGGGCTTCCTCACACCCCGAAGGGCTCTATGTCTATTAGGGCCTTTATACGATCAGGTTCTTTATGTTATTTTTTTTCTTTATGTTATTTTATGATTAGGGTATTATAAGCAATCATGCATATTAGTACCAAGGGCATAAATGCATTTGCCAAACAAACTAAACTACCAGCAAAGGAGTTTAAATTAAAACACTCCTTTCACCCTGGATAATCTCATAAAATACCACCACCTGGGAAACTTATTGATTAAAGTTCTAAATTGATTCTTATTTGGGAAGAGATCGGGGAAGGCCTTCTGCCTGTGTCACAGAAATTAGGGAGTAGTCTATTGAAGCAGGCATCAGAAAGACAGATATCATCTTTAAGGTGAGCGCCAGGGGGCAGCTTTTCGGAATCCCTGAAAACCTGATCTGCCTTGCCTGTCAGGTTTTCTCCCTCATGACCTTGTCATGAGTGGGATCTCATGTGCAGGCTCCCGGCAGAGTGGCTGGAGGGGAAGAAGTCCAGGAGTACCCAGATGCCAAGAGTCAACAGATGGTCTCTGTCAGAAGTGAGTCACAAATACAGTCTGGAATCTTACCTACTGAACAGGTAATAACTGTTATGTCTGGGACAGGGATAGAATTAGGGTGAGGTAAGGGAGCCACCTAAAATATATTAAATGTTGCATCCTAAGTACCTTACTTACCTCACCCCAGGCTTGGCCCTATACTAGGGAGGGGAAGAGAATGGGGCAGGAGAGGGATAAGGATAAAGGCTTTAACTTTTTCCTATGAGTATTTCTGTGTTGCCTGACTCTTTAGAAAGACCACTGGACTGGGTACTATAGTACCAGTCCTAGCACTCCACTCCAGCTTTCTTGCCCTCAGGTTTCAAGTTAGGTTTGGCTAATGGGAGACAGAGACATTTTGCAGGGGGATTCAGGACTGGAGGAGAGAGAACTCACTGTTTATTCTATTTCTCCCTCAACACTGAGCTTGTGGCAGTAGCTGCCTTGGTCTACTGAACACCCTTCTTTCATGGCTCTACCTCTCTCTCAGCTCATAACAACATTTCTCCCTTTGTACTTTCAAGCTTGGAGGTGCTAACCACTTTATGCTGTTGCCAGGCTCTGGGTGGCCCATTGCATTTTGTTTTTCCTCAATCCTGCCCATATCTCTTTAAGTAGACTATTAAATTCTTACCAGCTAAACCTTTTTGAGTGTGCTGTTTTCTGATAGGATCCTGATTAATACAATCATATATGTTCGTAGTTGTTCAGTTGCTCAGTCATGTCAGACCCTTTGCGACCCCATGGACTGCAGCATGCCAGGTTTCCCTGTCCTTCACCATCTCTCAGAGTTTGCTCAAAGTCATGTCCATTGAGTCCACTGAGTTGATGATGCCATCAAACCATCTCATCCTCTGTCACCCCTTTCTCCTCTTGCCCTCAATCTTTCCCAGCATTAGGGTCTTTTCAAATGAGTCAGTTCTTCACATCAGGTGGCCAAAGTATTGGAGTTTCATGTTCAGTATCAGTCCTTCCAATGAATATTCAGGACTGATTTCTTTTAGGATGGACTGGTTTGATCTCCTTGCAATCCAAGGGACTCTCAAGAGTCTTCTCCAGCACAACAGTTCAAAAGCATCAATTCTCTGGCACTCAGTTTTCTTTATAGTCCAACTCTCACAACCATACATGACTACTGGACAAACCATAGCTTTGGCTAGATGGACCTTTGTTGGCAAAATAATCTCTCTGCTTTTTAATATGCTGTCTAGGATATTTGTCATAGCTTTTCTTCCAAGGAGCAAGCATCTTTTAATTTCAAGGCTGCAGTCACCATCCATAGTGACTTTGAAAGTGAAAAGTGAAGTTGCTCAGTCGTGTCCAACTCTTTTTGACCCCATGGACTGTAGCCTACCAGGCTCCTCTGTCCGTGGGACTCTCCAGGCAAGAATACTGGAGTGGGTTGCCATTTCCTTCTCCAGGGGATCTTCCCTGACTTTAGAGCCCAAGAAAATAGTCTGTCACTGTTTCCATTTTTTCCCCATCTATTTGTCATGAAGTGATGGGACCAAATGCCATGATCTTAGTTTTTTGAATGTTGAGTTCTAAGTCAATTTTTCCCACTCTTCTCTTCCACCTTTATCAAGAGGCTCTTTAGTTCCTTTTCACTTTCTGCCATTAGGGTGGTATCATCTGCATATCTGAGATTGTTGATATTTCTCCCGGCAATCTTGATTCCAGCTTGTGCTTCATCCAGCCCAGCGTTTCACATGATGTGCTCTGCTTTTAAGTTAAATAAGCAGAGTGACAATCAACAGCCTTGATATACTCCTTCAATAAATGCTTCTGATCATTACTGTTACCTTAACTAGCCAGAAGTTAAAAAGTATAGGTCTCCCACTCCGCTAAAAAAAATAAATGAGTTCATTCAGAAAAGACAAAAGTGAAAGAAAGCAAGTAAAGCGAGTAAGGTGCGGGGTGGGGGCGACTGAGTCTTGGACAGGAAAGGTGTGTTTTATTCCTGCATTCAGTGTTTCCCTCACACTTTGCACGGGGACAAGAGAAGCGGGGACCTGAACAGACTTTATTTTAACAAACGTTAACGGAATATATATTTTTGGAATTAACCTACTGGGTGTAGAAGTTGCTCTAGGAATTGACGGAGAAAGGCTGCGGAAGCTCACACCTGGGAAAGAGGGAGGGGCGGGGCACCCTTAGACTCCTCCTCTTCCTGCGGCGCATGCGGATGACGTTGATCTGCGCGCCAGAATTCGAGGCGCTGACGGACTGCGAGGAGTGCTGCCACGTGCGTAAGGCTGCCGCGCGCGTTCGCAAACTCGGATACCTGTACGAACTGCACCCCGTAGCCACCCACGCCAAGCTTGATTTGGGCGACTGCAGGATCCCCACCAGGCAGAGCTGCGCCCAGTGGAGGCCTGCGTTCCTGCCTTAGTGCAGGCGTCCATTTGTGTTTGTTGGTTCCAGGCATGGGATTCCCCCACGTAAATTCATCCCCTCTCTAACAATTAATTCAACCACCGAAATAATCTCTTGGCGTCCAGTTTTATGTCAGGTACCATGCTGGTCTTTGGGGAGACAGCCCTGATGTAGACAATCCTGTGTCTGTGCTCTTGGAGCGTCTATTTCACTGGGCACGATAGACGAAAGTCAGCTGGTTTAATAATCAAAATGATTTCGGGATGTGATTATTCCTGTGAAGGAACTATGGTATGGAGAACAACTGAGGCGTCTAACTTTAGAAGGGATCATAAGGGAAATTCCCTGACGGTTCAGTGATTAAAACTGAGCGCTCTCACTGCCGAGGACCTTAGTTTAATCCCAGGTCGGGGATCTAGGATCCCACAAACCTCGGCAAAAAAATAAATAAAAAATTTAAAAGATCGTTAGCATGGGGTAGGGGCCTAAAAAGGCAGAATCAAGATCTAGCAGGAGCACCCGTAGCTGAAATGAGATCTGTCCTGGAATTTGTCAGTCTACAAGTTTTTGAGATTTTTTTGGTTGATAAACCGAAAGGCTTCCCTGCTGGCTCCAATGGCAAAGAATCTGCCTGCAGTGCAGGAAACCAGGGTTTGATCCCTGGGTCAGGACGATCCCCGGAGGAGGGCATTGCTCCCCACTGAAGTATTCTTGCTTGGAGAATCCCATAGACAGAGGAGCCTGGTGGACTATGGTCCATAGGGTTGCAAAGAGTTGGACTCAACCTGGCATTCACACACCTGGGTTTTTGGCTTGAGCAATAAATTGGATAAGGGTGGTGTTAACTGAGATGAGAAATGGGAACTGAAGGTCTGGAGAACCGATAAATCAAAATTTCTGTTTTGACTAAAGCAAGCTATCCTGTGTTTATGAGACTTCTCCGTGGCAATGTCAATTAAGCATTTGCATGTGCTAGTTTGGAGTTTCAGGGAGAGTCAGAGTTGAATAAGTGAAGTGAAAGTCGCTCAGTTGTGTCTGAGTCTTTATAAGGTTATGAAATCTGTTGGCATATATCAACTCAAATTGTGTGAAATTGTAATTTTTAGTCAAAAATGGTTGAATAATGGAAGTTTCATTGGTTCAGTCTAAGAGATGATATTTAAAGCCACAGGTCTGAATGAAGTCACTTAAGAAGAGCATTTAGAAAGATGAAAACAAAGGGCAGAGCCTCGGGCACCCACTGTTTAGAGGTGGAGCAGAAGAGTAGGAGCTTCCCTGGTGGCTCAGCTGTAAAGAATCCACCTGCCAGTGCAGGAGGTGTGGGTTCAATCCCTGGGCTGGGAAGAACCCCTGGAGAAGGAAATGGCGACCCACTCTAGGATTGTTGCCTGGGAAATCCATGGACAGAGGAGCCTTGTGGGCTACAGTCCATGATGTCATAAAGAGTCGGACATTACTGAGCGACTAAACAACAACAAGAAGAGTAGGAGCCAGCACAGGTGACTGAGATGGAGCAACCAGAGTAGAGGAATACCAGGAGAGTGGTGTCAGGAAGCCAGGAGAGGAGAGTATTTTAAGAAGTAGGGAATGAATAAGTCACATGCTGCTGAGGGGTAGAATAAGGTAAGAAGTTAAGTGACCTCTAGATTGGCAACATTGCAATCTTCATTCAGTGACCTTGACAGAATAGTCAGATTCAGCCTTGAGTAAGTTATATTTGAGATACCTGTGAGTTGTCCAAGTGAAGAAGTGAGGCAGTGAGCTTCCCACTTCTTTGGGAAGAGGCTTTGTACACCTGGGAGTGCTGTGTGCGTGTGTGTGTGAGAGAGATCAGAGCTGAATGAATGGTGTGAATCAGAAGCTCTCCACTCACATAGGAGGGAGGTTTCCCTGAGCACTGGACCAGCAAGGAGGGCTTCAGATTTGGTGCCACCTGTATTGACCTTGACAAATGGGAAAGCTTTGGATAGGATAGAATTAGACATAGACATTCTAGGATGGGGCAAAGGAATGGCGGGGAGGCCAGGCAGCATTTAGTGAGTAAAGCCAAGGTCCTTTTGAGAAGCAATGGGATCAGAAGTTGAAAAGTAGTTGGGGATAGACCTGGAGGGTCTTTGACTGTCAGGCTTTGCATTTACCTTGAACAGGGACATAATATTTTGAAACATTGAAGTAGAGGAACTGTCATTTGACTTTACTGGCCATCCCAGTCCAGCTCATCCTTTAGGTTTACACTTAGATGCCACTTCCCTTAGGAAGTGTTTCCCACTCCCACCATGCTAGGTTTATCCCTTCTCTAGGGGATCTTCCCAATCCAGGGATTGAACCAGGTCTCCTGTATTGCAGGCGGATTCTTTACCAGCAGAGCCACCAGGGAAGCCCTTCTGTTAGGAAGTCTTTCCCACTCCCACCGTGCTAGGTTGGTACCCCCAGTCCCCTGGCCTTGACTGTACTGGACTGGAAATGTCTGGATGCATTTATCCCTGAATGCCCCCACTACTTTCCCCCACCCCATCCCTAATGCCTCCAAAGCCTCAGCTGAACTGAACTTGAAACCAGTTCAACAGATAGGCTCTAGTTCATGTTTTTTTTTAGGAACCTAACTCATCTTTCCAGCAAGGGACACCTGCAGAGATGTCCTCTGTCCTTCACTTCTATGTCCGCCCCTCTGGCCACGAGAGTGCAGCCTCTGAATACATTCAAAGGAAGCTGCAAAGGGAACTGCCAGAGCTGCAGGGTGTCAAGACGGAGCAGTGCTACAATGTGAACTGGACAGGTTGGGCCAGTTACTGGATTCTTGGGCGAAGTACCAATCGCCAGCGGCAGTGTCCCAACGTCTCCTTGCCCTGTCTCCCTGCAGCTGAGTCCTTCCCAAGCAACAAGGAGATGAAGAAGCTGACATGGCTATTTGGCTGCCCCTTGTTACTAGACGATGTTGCTAAGGAGTCCTGGCTCAATCCTGGCCCCACAGACCTGCTGCTGGAGGTTGGACCCAGGCAAGTGTTTCAGCCTCGAGCAACTTGTTCCATGGTCCAGAGCCCTTCCAAACATTCTGCCACCCCTGCCACTCTCATGCCTCTTCCTCTTCTTGTGATCCTTGGGAGATTTGTTTTCCCTTCATCCCACTCCCCACTTAGAAGACTGAGCCAACTCCCAGGCTTGTTCTGGAAATATAACAAGTTGCATTCCTAGATGTTGAAATTGAAACATTTTGATTCTGCAGGAACAGTTATGGTTTGATTTGAATGACCTTTGAAAGCAAGTTTCTCAGTGCCCAAACCTAAGGCTGGAGGCCAGTGTTATGGGCGGGGGTGGGGGTGGGGAGTGGAGGTTGGAGACTGGCTGGACAGCAGTGGGCAGGATCCACCTCAGCTGGGGCTCAGGTCCTAACCATCTGGTCCTAACCAATCCACAGGCTGAACTTTTCCACCCCAACATCCAGCAACATCGTGTCAGTGTGCCAGGCTGCAGGGCTGGGGGCCGTGGACCGCGTGGAGCCAACCCGGCGCTACCTGCTCTCGGTGAGACAGTAGGCAACCAGGTGGGGATCCAGAGGAGGAAGTGGGCGGAGATTGGGTCTTACAATCCAAGGAAATGATGAGAAGCAGGGGAAGCAGTTTCTGATTTGAGGCCTGCCCTATTTGCAGCTTGTTCACTGCTTGAGGCCGCCTGGTCAAGAAGTAAATAGGACAGAAATCCAGCCTGTGCTCCTGTTTCTAATGTGTGCCTGCTGACAGGCACTCATGCCTGGAAGGGGCATCTTTTGCTAATCTGAGCAAAGGTGCTGGAGAGGCTAGCATTGGGCTGGCCTTGTGTGGCTTGGAGGACCGAGGGTAGACCATTTTGTCCGGTCTTCAACCCTGTACCCCTTGCCCTCAGTGTGTGTCTCCACCCCTAGTTTGCCCACCCACCTTCAGCTGACCTGGAGGCCATTGCCCTGGCTACCCTGCATGACCGGATGACGGAGCAGCGCTTCCCCCAGCCCATCCGGAGCTTCTCTTCAGGGTGTATCCCAGCACCCCTGAGCGGCCCAATTGACATACTGGCTGAGGGCCGGTCTGCCCTGGAGAAAGCCAACCAGGAGCTAGGTGAGCAGGGGTCCCTGAAGGAAGGCCCAGGCCAGCAGAGTAAGGGTGCAGTGTCCCACAACCAGCTTCTCTGGGGTTGTCTCCTAGGTCTGGCCCTAGACTCCTGGGACCTGGATTTCTACACCAAGCGCTTCCAGGAGCTGCAGCGCAACCCCAGCATTGTGGAAGTCTTCGACTTGGCTCAGTCCAATAGGTGGGGAGGGATGGGGACATTTTGGTGTCTGAGTCTGTGGAGGTTGGAAGAGACGATCATAGGGACCCTCCATGGCTTTCTCTTGGCCTAAGAAAGTGAAAGTGTTAGTTACTCAGTCATGTCCGATTCTTGGTGACCTTATGGGCCATAGCCCGCAGGCTCCTCTGTTCATGAGATTTCCCTGGCAAGAATACTGGAGTGGGTTGCCATGCCCTCCTCCAGGGGATCTTCCTGACCCAGGGACTGAACCCACATCTCTTATGCTTCCTGAATTGGCAGGTGGATTTTTTACCACTATCGTGACTTCTTGGCTTAGGGGCCTCCCTGAGTCTGAGTTCCCCATCCATCCAATAGTCTGCATCACATCTTGGTTTTATCTTCACTCTGGATCTGGATAATCCACAATGACAGACCATTGGAAGCTTATGACTTTCTGAAATGTGCTTTGACTTGTGACTGTTATTCTGCCTTTTATGCTGGTGAGGAGAAAAGGTGGCAAGGCCTGAGACATGACCCATGTTTCCGCCCTGCTCTCCCCTCCCCACATCATCCCGGCAGTGAGCACAGCCGACACTGGTTCTTCAAGGGTCGACTCCACGTGGATGGACAGGAGCTCCCACACTCGCTGTTTGAGTCTATCATGAGCACCCAGGCATCCTCCAACCCCAACAACGTCCTCAAGTTCTGTGACAACAGCAGGTAGGTGGTGCCCTTGGCTGGGCATAGGGGACAGGGTGCCCCAGGCTCCACTGGGGTAAGTGCAGATCCCAGCAAGGAAGCCAGGCCCAGAACAATGTGTCCACAGCGCCATCCAGGGGAAGGAAGTCCGATTCTTGCGGCCCAAGGACCCCACACGGCCAAGCTCCTTCCAGCAACGTCAGGGGCTGAGACAAGTTGTCTTCACAGCAGAGACACACAATTTCCCCACAGGTGAGCTGAGTCCCCAAGAGGGAAGGTGAGATCAGAGTGTAGGGAGGGGCAAAGGTCCCAGCCCCCCTCACCCTGGGGACCAGCACTTTGGCTGCATGTCCTTATTTTCAGTGGTATGGTCAGTGGTGGACCTTGCTCTTCAATAGCCATACCTCTCCCTCTCTCTTCACAGGAGTAGCCCCCTTCAGTGGTGCAACCACTGGCACAGGGGGCCGGATCCGAGATGTCCAGTGCACAGGCCGAGGGGCCCACGTGGTGGCTGGCACTGCTGGCTACTGCTTTGGAAACCTGCACATCCCAGGTCCCATCTCTTTGCTCTCTACCCAGATGCCTCCTCCTGGCAGGCACGGGACACTTTTATCTCCTAAGTTAAGCGGTCATCATGGGCACCTTTTCTTGGGAGAAAGGGCTCTAGAGTAGCTGGCCTTTCCCCAGCCATGGTCATGAGGACAATAGGCCAAGAGAGACCTACGTCTGGCTTTGCAGAACTACAATTTTCTTAAACAAAACCTAATACAGAGTTGGACTTTTGACCATCAACTGCCCCCAAAATCCAATTTCTTAGAAAGTGTTAAGAACTCTGATCCCAAGAGTCAGACTCTTCCTAAAGGGTCCTGGCTCCTCTGACTTCCATCTTTACTGTCCATTCATTTTCCTCTTTCCTACCCAGGTTACAGTATGCCCTGGGAGGATCCAAGCTTCCAGTATCCAGGAAACTTTGCCCGACCCCTGGAGATTGCCATTGAGGCCAGTAATGGGGCTTCTGATTACGGCAACAAGTTTGGGGAACCAGTGCTTGCTGGTGAGCCTGGAGGGTGTAGGGGACTGTTATCCTTGACGTGGATATTAGTCCCAGAGGCAGGGTGGGGTGTGTGACCCAGTAAGCGCTGAGGCGCCTGGTTGACTAGATCCTGTGCCCTCTCCCTGTGACGTCCACATTCCAGGCTTTGCCCGCTCCTTGGGCCTTCAGCTCCCAGACGGCCAGCGGCGTGAGTGGATCAAGCCCATCATGTTTAGTGGAGGCATTGGGTCCATGGAAGCTGAGCATGTGAGCAAGGAGCCCCCAGAGCCAGGTAAGAGCCCCCCACCTCTCTCCAGGTCCCACCAGCTGTCTCCCCAGCGCTTGGCTCCTGCAGGAGTGGAATCTCAGTGGTTTTGTATCTCCTGGCTCCTGGCTCTTCTCCTCTGGACAGGCTTTTAAGGCAGGGCAGGGCCTTATGCCAGTTGGGCAGGCTCAGTCTGTGAGGCCTCTGTCCTTTCCCCAGTTGACTTTTCCATGGCAGGGGCCCACCCTGCTGAGTCAAGGCAGCCAGTGTTTTACCCAGCACCTCCGTTTTTATCTGCAAGTTCAGTTCAGTTGGTCAACATTTGCTGAGGGCCCACTGGGTGCTGAGCACCGTGCTAGGACCTGTGGTGGAATCAAGATAAAGGCCGGGTACCATTTGTTGAATGGGTGACCACTCACATGGCTCAGAACTTAAAAAAGCATTTGTTGAATGGGTGACCAGTCACATGGCTCAGAACTTAAAAAGCAAAGAAAGATTTTACAGTGAAAACTCTGCTCTCCCTGACCTCCAGCCACCCAGTTTCCCTCCCTAGAGATAAGCAATGTTAATTGGTTATTCTTGTGCCCTGCCAGAAGTACTTCCTGCATACATAAACAGACCCATGTGTATATTTGCCTCCTCTGTTAAAACAACTAGCATGTGTACACACTTTTTTTTGGCTGTGCCACATGGCCTATGGGATTTTAGTTTTCCAATGAGGGATTGAACCCAGGGCCCCAGAAGTGAGAGCATAGAGTCTTAACCATTGGACTGTCAGGGAATTCCCCACCTATTTTAATAACCATTTTATTCAGATATAATTCATGTACCATAAAGTGTGCCCTTTTAAAGTGTATAAATTAGTGTTTTTAGTATATTCACAAAGTTGTGCCTTAATCACTACCAATTCTGGAACATTTTCATCACCCCCAGAAAGAAACCCTGTACTCATAAGCAGTCACTCCCCATGCTCCTTCTTTTGGCCTCTGGAAACCTGTAATCTATTTTCTATCCCTAAAGATTTCCCTGTTATAAATGTGTTTGGCCTCTTTCACTTAACATGACGTCTTTATTCGTATTATAGTATGTATCAGTACTTCATTCCTTTTTATGGCTGAATAATATTAATATTCTGTTATGTACCTATAACACATTTTGTTTATCCATTTATCAGTTGGTAGACAAGTGGGTTGTTTCTGCTTTTTGGCTAATTATGATTAATGCTGCTATAAATAATTGTGTACAAGTTTTATTTTGTATTCATGTTGTTACTTCTCAAGTATGTAACTAGGAGTAGACTTGCTAGGTCTCATGATAACTGTACTCAGTCTTTTAAAAAAACCTATCACACTGTTTTCCAAAGCAGATGCACCATTTTACATTCCCCTCAGCAGTGTGTGAGGGTTCCAGTTTCTCTAGATTCTCATCAACACTTATTATTATCTATCTCTTTGATTATAGCAATCAGAATGCATATGAAGTATCAATAGTATCTCATGGTGGTTTGGGTTTGCATTTCCCTAAGGACTCATTATGTTAAGCATCTTTCCATGTCTGTTGACTATTCCTATGTCTTTGTTGGAGAAATATCTGTTGAGACCCTTTGCTCACTTTTAAATTGGATTATTTGCCTTTTTTTATGGAGTTCTAAGAGTTCTTTGTATATTCTAGATACTGGCCATTTATCAGGTAGATACACGATTTGCAAGTATTCTCTTCCATTCTGTGGGTTGTCTTTTTAGTTTTTTCATGGTGTCCCCTGAATCACAAATGTTTTTAATATTGGTAAATGTAGTTTATTTATTTTTGTTTTGTGGCTTTTGGCTTACAGTGCCATGACTAAGAAACCATTGACTGAGTCAAGGTCACCTGGATTGACTTCTATATTCTCTTGTAATACTTTCTAGCTTTTATCTCTTACATTTAGGTCTCTGAAGCATTTTGAAGTTTGTATATGATACGAAGTAGGGATCCAATTTCCTTATTTGGCATGTGATTATCCAGTTGTTCTAACAACCCTTTTTGAAAAAAACCTTTTAGCTCTGTGGCAAGTTAAAAAGCAGAAAGTATGAGTCCTTCAATTTAGTTCTTTTTCAAGATTGTCTTGGCTTTGTTCTGGGTCCCTCAGATTTCTGTATAAATTTTAGGGTCATCTGGTCCATTTCTTTGAAAAAGGTGACTGATTGTGTTGACTTGAAGATCACTTTGGGGAGTATTGACATCATAACAATATTAAGTCTTCCAATCTATAAACATCAGATCTTTTTCAATTTATTTAGGCATACTAAGGTATTTCATAATTCTCAGTGTATAAGTCTTACATTTCTATTAAGTTTATTCCTAAGTATTTTATTCTTATTGATGGGGTTCTAAGTGGGTATATATACATCTGTACCTTGCTTTTTTCCAGCTTAGCAATATGCTTGGAAATCATTTCATACTGATGAAATCACTTTACTTCATTATATTCATATGTAATTTTCTTTGCAGTGGCTTAGTTTTTCACTGTATGGCTTATACCATAATTTATTTAACCAGTTCTCTGTTATTAGCATGTAGATTATTTCTTGTCTTTAATAACACAAATAATGCTATTGTTTAAGTTTGTTCATTGGCAATTTTGCACCTGTGAATAATCTGGAGGGTAAATTCCTTGGAGTGTATTTAACTCAATGAATGTTAACAGATACCTCTAATGTTGCCTTCCCTTTATCCTCACACTGCTTCGTACTTGTACTTACTGTCATTCCCTGAGTGCTCTGATTCAGCCCTCCTTCCTCACAGGCATGGATGTCGTGAAGGTTGGGGGTCCTGTCTACAGGATTGGAGTTGGGGGCGGAGCTGCTTCGTCTGTGCAGGTAAGTGGAAATAGCCTGGATGCCAACTCCATGATCTCTCAGGGCCCCATGCATGGGTGGCGTGTGAGCTCCCAGCCCCTCTGAACTGAGCTATGCCATCTGTCCCCCCAGGTGCAGGGAGACAATGCCAGCGACCTGGATTTTGGGGCTGTGCAGCGGGGAGACCCGGAGATGGAACAGAAGATGAACCGTGTGATCCGGGCTTGTGTGGAGGCCCCTGGGGGAAACCCCATCTGCAGCCTTCATGACCAGGGTGCTGGTGGCAATGGTGAGAAAGGGGGTTGGACAAGGGATCGGGCCTACCTGGTCTCTGCTTGGTTCAGTTTAGGGAGAGGCTCAGCAATCGGTTTAGGTTGAGGATCTGCAATCAACCTGCCAGCTCAGGGTCCCATTCTCCACCCACTATATATTCTGAACAGGCCCAGGGTTGAGGGTGGCAGCCTGCTGCCATGGGATAGTTGGTGGAGAGGGTGCAGCAGTGGTTCAAACAGGGATGCACGGAATTAAGGGCTCCTTGGGAGGCTGGGAACGGCCTTTTGTTTGCCCTGTGCTGACTGTGGCCTTGTGAGCATCTCTCCGGGAACGCCCCCACCAGGCAATGTCCTGAAGGAGCTGAGTGACCCAGCTGGAGCCGTCATTCACACCAGCCGCTTCCAGGTGGGTCGTCCTCCATGAAATCTGCCCGTCTCCCTGCCCCTGCCAGTCCCAGCAGCCCCAGTCGTCTGCCCCTCACTCCCAGCAAGATCATATGACTTGGGAGCACCCGCTGACCCTTCCTTTTCGTCCTCCCTCATGGATGTGCAGCTGGGGGACCCAACCCTGAATGCCCTGGAAATCTGGGGGGCCGAGTACCAGGAGTCAAACGCGCTTCTGCTGAGGCCCTCTGACCGGGACTTCCTGAGTCGTGTCAGCGCCCGGGAACGCTGCCCAGTCTGCTTTGTGGGCACCATCACTGGAGACAGGAGAGTGAGTTGGCCTGGGGAGTCAGTAGTAGGCGCTGTAGGTGGACTTGAGCTGCCTAGGCCCAGGAAAGAGATGAGCACAGGAGAGCCGTGGGGAATAGCATGTAGGCTGAGGGGGCAGGGGGCTCAATAGGAGAAGCCAGATGGGGTGGAAAGAGCACTTCTGCCCTGCTTTCTAGAAGAGTTCACTCCCTGCTAGTGGTCATAGCCTCACCCCCTCTGGGTGGTGTCCCTTTGGTCTACAGATAGTGCTGGTGGATGATCGGGAGTGGCCTACAGGCAGAGGTGGTCAGGAGGATGCACCCCCCACTCCTCCCCCAACCCCTGTGGACCTGGACCTGGACTGGGTGCTGGGCAAGATGCCCCGGAAGGTACGTGAGGGCAGGAGGCGTCTCCCTTCCTTGGCCCGTCTCCACCCTCTGCCCCACATGTGCTTTGTCACCTGTATGCCCAGCGCTCCACCCCAGTGCTCACACCCCTGTTGCCATCTGTGTTGCAGGAGTTCTTCCTCCAGCGGAGTCTCCCCTTGCTGCAGCCTCTGACTCTGCCCCCAGGGCTGAGCGTGCGCCAGGCCCTGGCACGGGTCCTCAGGCTGCCTGCCGTGGCCAGCAAGCGCTACCTCACCAACAAGGTCTTCTCTGCACCCTGCTCCACCCCCTTAGCCCTCTGCACCCCTCCCTCTGCTCGCCCACCCCAGGAACGGCTGCGGGGGTCCACCAGGGACGGAGAAGGGTCAGGACAGAGGCCTGGTCCCCTGCTGCCCACCCCCCAAGTCTTGCGTGTTCAGGGTGAGCCAGGCCGCCCCCTTGTCCCTGGGCCTCTGGCCAGCTCCCCCTGATTCCACAGGTGGACCGTTCTGTGGGCGGCCTGGTGGCCCAGCAGCAGTGTGTGGGACCCCTGCAGACCCCTCTGGCAGATGTGGCGGTTGTGGCACTAAGTCACCAGGAGCTTGTAGGGGCCGCCACAGCCCTGGGAGAGCAGCCAGTCAAGAGCCTGCTGGACCCCAAGGTTGCCGCCCGGCTGGCTGTGGCCGAAGCCCTCACCAACCTGGTGTTTGCTCTGGTCACCGACCTCCAGGTGAGTCCCCTGCGGCTTCTGGCCTGGAACTCCAGGCCTGTGGGACACAACCACAGTGACCATCCACTTACTTGCTGGCCTCCAGCCTCCCTACACCACGCTTTTTTCTCTCTAATGCAAGTCTGCACTTCCCAGGATGTGAAATGCAGCGGGAACTGGATGTGGGCGGCCAAGCTCCCAGGGGAGGGTGCAGCTCTGGCTGATGCCTGTGAGGCTATGGTGGCAGTGATGGCGGCCCTGGGTGTAGCGGTGGACGGTGGCAAGGACTCCCTCAGCATGGCTGCCCGGGTTGGCTCTGAAACCGTGCGGGCTCCTGGTGAGGTCTGGGTGCCAGGGGGCAAGGGGCAGGCCTGTGGGCCTGGACTCCACCTCACATGCTTACGCCTTGCTCTGCAGGGTCACTGGTCATCTCAGCCTATGCTGTCTGCTCAGACATTACAGCCACTGTGACCCCAGACCTCAAGCATCCTGGAGGGAGAGGTATGCTTTCTTCCCCATCCTTCATGCGTTGTGTATTCACAGCCCAGTCCTTTGTTTGGGGTCTGCTTAGTGAGTGCTCAGGTCGTCTCAGCACTGGGGCTGTGGTGCCTTCCGGGGCTGATGATTGGGGTGTCTTACCACATCCTGAGAGCCTCAGTGACCCTGCATGGCAGAACGTGTTCTCCTGAGCCAATGGTCTCCCCTCCGCCATCCCTGTCCTCCCAGGCCACCTCCTCTACGTGCCTCTGAGTCCTGGGCAGCACCGGCTGGGGGGCACGGCTCTGGCTCAGTGCTTCTCCCAGCTTGGCGAGCAGCCTCCTGACCTGGATGTTCCCGAGAACTTGATGCGAGCCTTCAACATCACCCAGGGGCTGCTGAAAGGTGAGTGGGGTCCTGGGGGAGATGGTCCTTGTGGCTGACATGGGAAAACAGGCAGTCATCAGCTGAGCATGTGAGAGTGGGGCAAGAGGGATCTGATCCCTTTCTCTCTGGTTCTCTGATGTAAGCCCACATTCTCACACTTGCCCTCTCCTGACTGTCCAGAAATGGGGGTGGGGCCGCCAGGTTTGGGTCTCAACACCGCTAAGCATTTTTCTCCTTCCTCCAGACCGCCTTCTCTGCTCAGGTCATGATGTCAGTGATGGAGGTCTCATCACTTGCCTGCTAGAGATGGCCTTTGCTGGGAATTGTGGGATAGAGGTGGACATCCCTGCACCTGGGGTCAATGGTGAGGTCTAGATTCGAGCAGGGCTGCCTGTCCCCATCCTTCGGACCCTGTGTCCCTCATTTAAAGATTGGAGTGTCCCCAACTCCTCTCCTGAGTCTCCTGTTATCTTTTCTGATTACTGAGCCAGGTGACATTTCTGTTCCTAACTGCACCCCTCTGAGAGAGCCTCACCCCACCCCGATCCCTCCTTTGTTCATACGTACCCCCCGACTCCACCTCTGAGTCCCTGCCAGTACCCCAGTCACCTTGACACCTCTGTTGTCTCCCAGCGCTGCCTGTGCTGTTCACCGAGGAGCCAGGCCTGGTGCTGGAGGTGCAGGAGCCAGACCTGGCCCAAGTGCTTCTACGTTACCGGAATGCTGGCCTCCACTGCCTAGAGTTGGGCCTCACAGGTGACACGGGGCCCCACGCCACGGTGAGGAAGTGAAGAGTGCCAGGCCTGCACAGGGCAGGTTGTGGTTCGCCTCTGCCAGCCTTGGAGGCACCCAAGGTGGACGTCCTGAAAGATTTGCCCCCCCTACCCAGGTCCGGGTGTCGGTGAACAGGACGGTGGTTCTGGAGGAACCTGTTGGGCAGCTCCGAGCCCTCTGGGAGGAGACCAGTTTCCAGTTGGACCGGCTACAGGCAAAACCACACTGTGTGGCCCAGGAAGAGCAAGGGCTGAGGGAGCGGGCAGGGCCCACCTACCGCCTGCCGCCTACCTTTCCCAGAGCATCCGTACCTTGCGAGCCTGGTGAGGGAGTGTGTTTAGAGGCTTGGCTTCCCTGGCACTGTGGGCCTTGGGGAGGAGCCTAGAGCCTGGACGTGAGGTCCTGCCCTGGACAAGGTGTCTAGGGGGCTAGGGTGCAGAGGTAGCCCTCTGACCCAAGGACACTCCTGCTCCTCCCCTAGGTGGTCCTGCCCCCCGAGTTGCCATCATTCGGGAAGAGGGCAGTAATGGAGACCGGGAGATGGCAGATGCCTTCCACTTGGCTGGATTCGAGGTGAGCGGGGTGCCTGGTGGGGCCAGGGCTGGACTCAGGCCATGGGCCTTCTGATGCTGCCTGCCCCCCTCCTGCCAGGTGTGGGATGTGACCATGCAGGACCTGTGCTCTGGAGCCATCGGGCTGGACATGTTCCGCGGTGTGGCCTTTGTGGGCGGCTTCAGCTACGCGGACGTCCTGGGCTCTGCCAAAGGTGGGCATGGGGCCTCTGCTCACCCCCTCCCCACACCTTCCTAAGAGCTGCCTTAGTTCCCTCTTCCCTGCCTGAGAACTGGCCTCTCACCTCCATGAGGCCAGCCAGGAGCCAGCAAAGACCTACAGGTAGCTTAATGAGGCCAGGGGGCTGGTTGCCACTTTTGTCAGATGCGGCAGCTGCCACTCAGCATGGCCAGGTCTTTATGTTTTTCATGAGAAGCCCAAAAATCCCAGTTAAATGTGAGGCGACTAAATAAAAAATTTTGAAAATGCTCTGCTGGCTAAGCAGAAAGCTCGTCCTAGGCCATCTTAGGCCCAGAAGTTGGCAACACGTTTCAAGCAGGTAAACCTTCTTCCCTGATGTTTGCCCAGAGCTCCTCAGAGTGGGAGAGATCCTAGGCGAGTGTTAACAGGGCACGCTACGACGGAAAGATGACAGTCCCCCCTCACTTCGGGTCTCACCCCAGCTTCCTGTTCCCTCCTAGGCTGGGCAGCTGCTGTGACCTTTAACCCGCAGGCTGGGGCTGAGATGAAGCGCTTCCGGCAGCGGCCAGATACCTTCAGCCTGGGCGTGTGTAACGGCTGTCAGCTGCTGGCCCTGCTGGGCTGGGTGGGAGGCAGTTCCAGTGAGGAGGCGGTGGAGATGTGCCAGGAGTCCTGGCTGGCCTGGCCCGGCCTCCTGCTGCGCCACAACCTGTCTGGGCGCTTTGAGTCTCGCTGGGCCAGCGTGTGCGTGGGGCCTGGGCCAGCCCTGATGCTGCGAGGGATGGAGGGCGCGGTGCTGCCTGTGTGGAGCGCTCATGGGGAAGGTCAGGCTCCGGGGAGGCCTGAGGGCCAGGGTAGGGGGAGGGCATGAGGGAGCTTGCTCTCACATCCCTTGTCCCCTTTTCATCACAGGTTACATGGCATTTTCTTCTCCGGAACTCCAAGCCCAGATGGAGGCCAGGGGCTTGGCTCCACTGCACTGGGCAGATGATGACGGGAACCCCACGGAACAGTACCCCCTGAATCCCAATGGCTCCCCAGGGGGTGTCGCTGGTGTCTGCTCCCCTGATGGTCGCCACTTGGCCCTCATGCCTCACCCGGAGCGGTCTGTGAGGCCTTGGCAGTGGGCCTGGCGACCTCCTCCATTTGACACTCTAACCACCTCCCCCTGGCTCCAGCTCTTCATCAATGCCCGGAACTGGACCCAGGAAGGCAGCTGCTAAGCAGGCCAGGAGGCCCCGTGGTTCGTACCCAGGGTATCTTTAGAAGTACCTCATCAGTTCAGTTCAGTTCAGTTCAGTTGCTCAGACATGTCCGACTCTTTGCAACCCCATGAACCGCAGCACTCCAGGCCTCCCTGTCCATCACCAACTCCCGGAGTTTACCCAAACTCATGTCCATTGAGTCGGTGATGCCATCTAACCATCTCATCCTCTGTTGTCCCCTTCTCCTTCCACCTCCAATCTTTCCCAGCATCAGGGTCTTTTCAAATGAGTCAGCTCTTCACATCAGGTGGCCAAAGTATTGGAGTTTCAGCTTCAACATCAGTCCTTCCAATGAACACCCAGGACTGATTTCCTTTAGGATGGACTGGT